TTATTTATTTATTTATTTAAGACAAGCGTCTAGGATTGCATACAATTGCAACTTTAAGTTAAATGTTATTACATTTGCTAGTGTAAGATCTAAAATATCAATGAACCGGACTTTGACAGAACTTGGCTTTAAAATTGTTTCTCTCAGATTTGTTTTGGGTTAGTGTAGGGGGATCGCTACTTTCGGGTGGCTAAAACGTGTTTGGTATACTGTACATGGGCTGTTCAAAGTTACGGTATTATTAGGGAGCTTAAGCAACGACGACGGCGACGGTAACGAGAACGGCAAAAAAAGCAATTTTAATCAACCTATTAAAATAGATTAGAAAAACAACAACTTTGCACGTGCATGACGCTTTTTTGTATATTTCTTTGCTGTCACTGCACGACTACGACGTCAAACTTCCTAATTTCACGTTTTGTCGAGGGCGTGAACACAAGACAACGACTTTCTTTTCCTTTTCCTGAACTTCGGTACAGCCCTCTGGAATCCAACTCCAGAAAAATATGCCAAGATTGGACAAACTGAACGAGATGGAATAAGCGCGATGAAGTTTGAAGCAGTGACGTTTTCGTAGCCGTTGACGTTCCGCGGAGAACTTTATTGAGGCTACGGTATTCCGAGAACCTACTCAGTGTGGCTTATTATCTATCATTATCCTTATTTCTTGCAAAAAATTACTTTTGTGGCCGCTACTATCGGAGGGTCGTTATTTTCTCGGGGGGCGGGGGGGGAGGACTAATCTATCGGGATTTGCCAACACTACTTTCGGGGGAACTCGTTATGGCATGAGATGAGTCTCCCGGGATTGCATGAAAACCACATATAAACGGACACTTGTAATCAAATTCCACCACCCAACATGCCAGACACCGGAAATGCGAAAGATTACCTCGAATTACCACCCACAAATTTTTCGATTTTTACATTAAAAAACGTGACTTGACGAACTTATTTGATTAGTTTCACAGTACAGTATTGTTTTCTATTTCGTTTTGTTTGTATAGAGCTTGTTTCACTCATCTGATTTCTTCAAATTTGAGTTGCAATCTATGTTTATGGTACTATGATCAATTGGTCCACTTTGGTAAAGAAATTAATGCAAACGTATATCGTCAAAGTCTCTGGGAGTATTCTTAACATTTCCACTGTTCACTTGAATGGTATTTGACATCTCATATAACGTTATCTATCGAAACCTGTATTAGGCGGACACCCTGTGTTAACCGGACACTAAAGCATTCCCCCAGGGTGTTCGCTTAATACAGGTTTCACTGTATATTACATAAAGCTAAACTATTCAGTAAACTACTGAGTATGTTGTGATCTTCATTTTGCCTAAGTTTGAAGCACGCGATAATTAAAAACAAAAATGCCATGGCTCGTTTCAGTCAAATTAAATTTCTTTGCGCTGCGACTATCAAGAAGAAAACTCCACCAGGCTGGAAACGTCCCGGCATAGTAAATCGAACCCAATCGAACTAAATTTAAATTGAACTAAATCGAACTCAATCGAACTCAATCGGTGGATTGAGTTCGATTGAGTTCGGCAATCGAACGAAATCGAACTCACCGAAAAGAAAAAAAATCAATCGAACCCAATCGAACGTTCGATTTTCGAACTCGTGATTTATGTAAAACAGACGTTGAAAATCCATTACCAGATCTTAGAAGCTCGAGCTACTTCAGCCCTGAGTGTAGCGCACGTGTTTTTCGTAAACGAAGAAATTCCGCAGAAATGGCTTCAGATGCGTTGTGGATCGTAAGCTTCAAATGTATAGTCAAAGGCTACTAGGAATGCCGCTTTGATGTCAAGGATGGCGAAGTTTTCAGGGTTTTAAAGAAAATAGGCGAGAAAGGCCGTGCCTTAATTCCGAATTGCAAACGAGCGCGGACAATTAGGTCACCTTCAACGTGAACTGGTTGCTTCCCTGTGGCCTGTAAATGCTTCGATAACTTGGTAAGTGAAGATGTTTGTAAGGGATTCGCGAATATATTAATTTGCCTCAAGTAGTTAATATTGTGCAACCCTTATGAAAAACAGGGGAAGCAAAACTTATGCATACTTTTCACCTTTAGTAGGGTCTGTGGGCCACCATTTGATGATCCTAAAGGTCGCCGGCAAAGAGGAGGTGGTATCAATGTCCCAATTATCCTAAAGTTTTCAACAAGGCGAGCCGAAGCATTGAATGTATACTGTAAAGGAACTCGTGAATAAATAGTTAAAAAAGCGCAAGAAAAACTCGCTTTGACGGGCTTGCTTTGGGCTTGCTTTGTATAGGTTCACCAGAGCCAATCGAACGAAATCCATTTAATTGTGTTCGATTGAGTTCGGTTTCCGAACTCAATCGAACACAATCAGACGGATTGAGTTCGATTGAGTTCGATTTGTTCGATTGAATTCGATTTGTTCGGAAATCGAACTCACTGAAAGTGTGGTGTTCGATTTCGTTCGATTGCCGAACTCAATCGAACTCAATCCACGGATTGAGTTCGATTGAGTTCGATTGAGTTCGATTTTCGAACGTTCGATTTACTATGCCGGGAAACGTGTACAGACGTTTAATTTTCAAGAGACCTTTGAAGAAGTCTGATAAAACCTCAACGATTCTGGATTTTAAATTTTCGTGACCATGGAAGTAAGTGCCTCAGTAATCAAGACTTTTAAATTTTACTTGGTGTCATTCACAAACGAACCTCACATCACAATCTTATATCTTATCCATGGGAGAGGGCCATCAGCTGATATTCTGTAATTTAGATCGAGCTCAGTATAAGGATAATACTTAATTTTGGAAATGACTACAATGCTGTACGGGCTAAATACCAACCATCACACAGACAGGATTGGGACTATGACAGCCTTTAATACAACATGTAAATTGGTAATCACTCAAATATAGGTACAATTTTAAAATGAAACAGGTAATAAAACTAGTTACACTCAAATGGAACAAACAAAGGTATACATAATTTGTAAAAACAGAAAGACTGCCAGCCTTAAGGAAATGAATATACAACCAAAAACTACCCAGGGAGGGTAGGGTGGGAAAACTAGTGAATGCGGCTACTTATGACTGTTTGCTAGCCGAGCTATCTTGCAAGTGAGTTATAAGATGCTGGGCCCTGAATTTATACAAGTGTGTTAGTACTTTTACTGGCATTGAGTACAAAAGCTGATCGTAAAAGCACTGGATACTTCGCGAGTAAAATAACTTGATATGCCAGATGGAATAGTACTCTATCAATTAACAATTAGTTCATGCGTCAGCGTGCGTATGTCGAGATATTGAGCACGCGGGAAGTTTGGAGAGCACGAAAGAGGCGTAAGAGTTGCACGAGGCGCAGCCGAGTGCAACTCTAGCCTCTTGAGTGCTCTCCAAACTTCCCAAGTGCTCAATATCTCGACATACGCACAGCTGCAGCATGAACTAATTGTTTTATAACATTATCAAAGCGATCAATGCAGCAGTTAACTGAAAATTTTATTATTGAAGGGCGCGCTCAAAGCAGTACGCGTCAATGTTTACGTGAATATATCTTTTTTCCTCACAGTTAATCTTATGTTTTTATCCTGAAACTGAGAGAAAGTGTACTCTAAAATGATTGTAAAATCCATATTTAGGTGCCGGAAAACTATTAATTTACCGAAAAATTGTTATTGAGAGAAAACAACTTTGCAAAGAATGAGCTCACGCCATAGCCCGCACAGCTCGCGGAGATGACAACAACAACAACAACACTCACCTCTTTTCCTTACTATCGGTTAACAAATTCAAACGTTTCCTCTTAAATTTCTTTACAAAACACATGGTAAACGCTTCATTGTCTATTGCTGAGTTATGGATGCACTCAAGAGACTCAGGATTGCTAAGCTCACAACAACTCGAGGAATTACGAATAGTTTATTGACGTCATCAGCGTGCTCAATAGGAATATGAAGCACGCTCGCGCTATTGAATTTGATTAGGCGAATTTTCTAGCTATGTTATAATGTAAACTTGTACTAAGGTAAAGGCTGTCTTAGTCCCAGTACCCCCATGTTTGATATTTACCACAGCATCACAACCCTAGACAGGATTGGGACTATGACAGCCTTTATTACAACATGTAAATAGGTAATCACTCAAATATAGGTACAATATTAAAATGAAACAGGTCATAAAACTAGTTACACTCCAAACCCAAATTGTGGAGGTTGTGGAGGAGAAATGTTTGTAGTGAGAATGGACTTAGCAATGGTGTTAACAGATGGTAATCTAATACAAAGAGGGACTGTAAGGTAAAGTAGCACAGCATCCGAATGCCAATCCCCTAGCATTTTACTAAGTTTGACAGGAACCCTGGACTAGAAGGCAAAGGAGGCCCCTCCCCTGCAGAAGGAGTGGCTGAGAGCCCAATGGCAGAGAGAATGGTACGCAACTTTTTTTAAAACAAGGGATAAGAGAAATTAATGCATGAGGATGAGGTCTGGGGAGCGAAGAAAAGCGAAAGCCTGGGAGTCAGGCGATGCCTCAGAGCATAGTCCGTTTGACTGCTGTAACAGGGCAAATGGGGGAGTCTGGTATAAAAGGGAGGGGGAGACATACCACCCACTCACAGAATTGGATAGTTTTACTCAACCGTATAGTGACTAAACCTTCCCAGGGATAAAATGTAAAATCCAAACGCAAGAGTTGCTGAGAAGCATCAAAGGAACGGGCCGATTTAACAAGGAGATGGCTTTGCGAAGCATACCAAAAAATGATACCAAACATATAGCCCAGAAGCAGGCATCAAAACTAGAGCGCATGTTGAGGTGCGAATAAATTTGACCCAAAATGCTAGGGGTAATGGGTTGTTTTTGGGCAGGTTGCATACCCTTGACACACTTAATCCCAGAGACTGTAATGGCCAATTGCCAAGAAGGGGATTAGGCAGGTTAGATTCCTTATGTAGAATACCAATTCTTGGGTTGCACGTGACGTCATTAAAAATGAAACTAAGAAACTATCGACTCTTCTGAGTTTCTACTTTCACGAGGTATTACAGTACCTAAACAGCTTTATATAAACAAATTTTTGGTTCGAAAGGGTTCTTCGTTTTGCGAGAGAAGACGCTTGAATTTCCAGGCTTTTGCGTGACGCGGCATTTAGCTGGCGGCCGGGAAAACTCTTTATATGTGGGTTAAAAACATTACTGATTTTGGGAAATTTTGAAATCTAAACATTCCTTGTCTCAGAATAAATATTACTGTAATCTTTATGAGTTCCTCAAGCGAAGAATTCACGCATTAGTAGGAAAACTCGAAAACAGATGTTTCTGTTGGTATCCGGCGGCCATATTGGTGTTCCAGAAAGGGACACCAACATGGCGTTTCCATACAAAGCTTTATAAATTTAGGTAAACCGTTTTTCTCAATATCTCGCATTTGAAATATTTCACAGACCTTATTCTTGGCAAGGGTTTTTGTATATTTATCTTTTTTCATTTCCCAGATTCTAGTCCTTCTGTATTGAATGGTTTGCATTTTTATTTTTCATTGCGTGACAGTGCAAGCCGAGAATAATATTGAGGTAATTTGGAACAGAAGTGGCTTTGAGACTGCAAGCTAAAAAGGCGGTATACTGACAAAGATGGGAAGATTGGGCTGGGAGGGGAGGGTAACCCATATGCTCACAAAACCGCAGATAACTAGTCCTGTGGGTGCGATACGATGCTTTAGTGCCCCCAGCAAAGGTGTGAAAGCAGTACTGATACATTTCTTCTTGAAGTTGCTGTGCCAGTTGGGGGTCCTTGGACCCCGGAAAAAAAGGAAATTGCAGCTGTGTAAGGACATATGCTGGGTGAGCGGTGTGCTGTTAGGAGGTTCGCGTGGTTGCACCTGCTGGAGATGATGGTAGAAGGCTACACATTTGCTAGGTTCATGTAAGCAAGACACTGCATCCGCAGTGGTGTTGAGGTGACCCTGGACATAAACAGCAATGAACCTAAAATTGTAAATTGCTGAAAGCCAAAACAGGAGTCTAAGCGCATGCATAATAAGAGGATGGGCAGTACTCCCTTTATTGATAATATAAACAGCTGCTAAATTATCACAGTGAATTATAATATGCTGCTTGGCCCATGAATGACCCCACCGAAATGCTGCGGAGACTTGGGCAAGAAACTCCTTGTAGTTAATATGGAGATCTGCAAGCACTGGGGAGTCACTCTGAAAATGATGGTAAAGCCAGTCGCCTCGGAAGAATGCACCAGCAGCAGTGCCGCAGGCATTGGTGTACACGTCAGTAGTGGGCTGCTCAAGAAGAAAGGGGCGTTGGCCATGGAAAACTTGCAAAAAGGAATGTCACCATTGGATGTCTTCATAAAAGTCAGCAGAGAGCCGTGCCTTCGCTGAAGGGGACTGGAGAGAATTCATCATATCTAAGATCTGTCACACAACAAGCCCAGTCTAACTTTCCAGCAAGCTGTTGTAACTGCTTTTTGTTTGCCCTACGTTTGGATAGGAAGGAGGTGACCAATGATTGCAGCTCAGTTAGCTTCTGTTTTGGGAGGGTCAGTTGGCAATGTTGGGTGTCCAGTTCAACACCCAAGAAAACCAGCTTCTGAGTAGGTTCAATCACTTTGTTCCAACTAATGGAAAATCCCAGATCTTGCAGCCGCTCTAGTAAGGTGAAGAAGGAGAGTTGGCATGCCTCACGAGTAGGAGCAATCACCAAGAAATCATCCAAGTAAACAATAACTGAATTGAAACCACGCCTAGCCATCATTCTGTGTGCAGACTGTGTTAAGCGGTGGAAAATCAATCTTGGGCAAAATATAGTTAGGCTTAAGCATTTTGATTGCATCATCTAGGGTCTGAAATTTGAACGAGTGGGTATCCATGTAGTCGTTAAAGCCCACCCCTGGGGTCGAGAACAGTCATGAATGAGGCGGACCTCTGAAGAGTCTGGTTTAGGAATTGTTCCTAATGCACTAATAATGGTAGGTTTGGAATTAGAAACAACATAATTACCCTTGGAAATTTTGCGCTCTACTGAGGTTTTAGCTGTGGGTTTTAGTGGCCGACTTGTAATTGTTTATCTCTGCTTGTGCAAACTGCATACCTTTAGGTGCCAGTTGGAAGCTATTAATAATGCCATCGATGAGGAAACTGCCATCCTCATCATTGCTTAATTCTGCAAGCCAAAGACCAATGTTTAATGGGGAGGAGATGGGTAGTCACTGGGGCCCTGGGGGGAGGGAGGGAATAGGGGAGGTGACATTAGGGGTGCCCTGATGAGAGTGGAAGGGATGGGACAGAGCACATGCTTTGCCATTTACTTTACGGTTACAAAACTGCAGTCAAAAAGACTACAGCCCTTAGATTTATTGTAATTTCTACAGATAACTCTACCATCCGGGGTAAAGTTAGCAAATAAAGAGCTTGGATTATTGCCTAAAGGAGCATTAGCAAGACGTGCACTTTTGGATGCCTCAGGGGGAGTTGAGATCGGTTCAAGGAGAACAGCACGCAAA